ACACACTGGAGATATTTCTATATCAATACATAGTTTCCTCATTATTTAAAAAATTGTTTAACTTCTTCAGAGTATTCCATTTTGTAGTTATACCAGAGTTTGTGTAACAATTTCCTCACAAATAGAAATTTGGATTGTTTTCATTTCCTGCTATTACAAACAATGCTGCAAGTGTGGTTTTAGGTCATTGTGCATGTCAGCAGGTATGTCTGTGGGATAGGTTCCTAGTGGTGAGATGGTTGGATCAGGAGAGAAATAGAGTGGTGTACTGAAATTAGCTGTATAATTTTGGGAACCTTTTAATTGGCTATTTAAAACAGGCACTACTAAGTGTTAAAACACATAAACTTATAATTAAATGAATTATATTATAAATAAAAGTAATTAATACTTAAAAACAAATCACTTCCAATTAGTTTACTAGGTTTCAACTATATGCTTTGGAGGTTATGACTGTTGCATCTGTTTGGGGGAAACTATAGAACAGGTGCTACTGCCCATCTCTTCCCAACTCCATGTTCAGTAGAATCAGCTTTCACCCTCCCCCCCCGTTGTTAAATATTTACCTGTGTGCTGTTCATTGATGATTTTAAGCTATTTTTAACCCATAACAATTTTATAGGCTTTATTTTGGTAAACCAAAATTAAACATGTTTAATTGACATCTGATTCTCACCTGCCACAGAATTTACTTTTTTTATTGAGTCTTTTTATCTTTCATGGCAATATAGTTATTTGCATAAGTTCAGTAAAAATTTGTCCTTCTTTTTACCAGAATGTAATTAGAAAAATCAGGGTCTTTTGGTGTTAGGTTTTATAAACTAAACAGTTCTATAATTTCTTATGCCCATTATGATTTCTTTTTTTTTAAGATTTTNGAGATACTATGGGAAGAGATCATGGGGCAAGCAGAGAATGGAGTTCAGTTTTTGTCCCAGTGCCCTCCCACCAGCGCTCTGGGTCCCCTATTGAAGGGCAAAGCTCCTGCCCACTCTGTATACCAGTTATCCTCCCCAAAACTCCAAGAATTCCTTCTTCCTCTTGTCCCTTCAGGCCAAGGAGTGGAAGAACTCATTCCCGCCCCCTTGCTTCTGTCACCCCAGTGAATCCATCCTTTGTTATTTCCTTCAGCTCTTCCCACAGCTCATAAATATCCCTTTATTAAACTCTTTCTGTTACCAAGTTTAAAGTGTTATCTGTCTTCTCTCAGGACCCACATTCCCTAATTTGTGCACAATCTTTGCTAGTTGTGCTCACCCTGATGCAAGAAGGGGGCTGGGGAGTAGAGGCTCATACATCACCCTGGTAACACTTAACCCACATTCATAGAGAAGGAAATTGGCTGTGATTTTCTTTAAGCTAATTTGGAAAGATTACACTTTTGTGTTTGATCATCTGTCTTCATGAATGCCCTAATTGAACGTGAAAAGATGCTGTATTGCTCTACCTTGATTAGTGAAGAGCCTACCTTTGAATTGTCTTGGAATGGGTGAAACAACTCATTAGTGCCACAAAACAACATCAACATGGAGGCACCAAGAAGAGGTTCCCTCGCCCTTTGAATCATCAACATTAAATATATTTCCTCTGAGCTTAAAACATAGTCACCTCCATATATTTATAGGTTATTAGTAGACTGTATACTTACCAAAGGGTGTTTCCATTGGCTATTGTGGAGAGGCATGGTCACCTGATCCTATTCTCCCAGGCCCTGGAGTGACACATGTTGAAGCCACAATTTGTCTCAGCTGATTAGACTTTATGTGCATTATTTGCAGGAAAGTAAAAAATTTTCATGTGGATCTTAGTGATACCATATCTCCCATAATTTTACTTGTCTAAATGGTTTGCAGGAACATATTAGAATTCCAAGGATTCTTTTCTCTTTGTTTTCTATCATAAAAATATTTCTAGCTCATCCCCAATAGATACCTTACATTAATGGTTGCTAAGACTGCTATTCTGGGAATTATGCTCTCTTTCTTAGGGTTTTGTACATCCTCATGTGACTTAGAAATGACATAGTAAGAGAGGATTCCCCTGGGAATCCTCTTCATAAACATTTCCTGAGCCCATCCATCCCTTTGATACAATTCACCCCAAATGGGTCTAGAGGAGACAAGGATGCCTCACCACTTCCACCTTTACTTCCCCACTCTACATGAAAACACTGGATTGGAGTGTAGCTGAAGGCACTTCAGTTCTTCATCCTTTGAGTACTGAAGCAAAAAGGTCATTTTTAAAACATGAGCACATAAATTAAGTGTTGCTCATAGTTTATATGGTTGTCACATCATTTCACTTTATGTATAAAAACATGAATTTCAGGGGAGAGCAGGAAGGTCAGGAGATTTTAATCTTCAGGAATAACAGTAACTACTAATTCACAACCCAGCAAGCAAGGAAATTTAGGGCAGCTTTACAAAAGCATGATGGCTGAGGAAATGACCGACTGCTTGTTTGCAAGATGACTGTTTCCCAAGAGCTGAGGGATGCCTCAGTCCCTGAAGAACCTGTTTCTGTCGTGCTCTTGAATGGCCCAGGAGAGGCTGTGGAGAACCCCTAGAGTGCAGCCAGGGCATCCCACAGACACAAACCCCCTTCCTCCCTGCTCACTTTGTTCACTTGACCTCACCAAACCCACTGTCCTCTATGCAAAAACTGGAAAGCATTTTGATTTAGTAAATATTCATAGTGATGTTACTACTGATATTCCCAAAACAGTATCTAACCTCCAAAAAAAATATATTGACCAAATGAATTAAGAATAATGGCAGGTTATATGTTACATTTCATAATAAAGAAGCAAAAGTAGATGAATGGACTTGAAACCAGAGAAGGTGCTGATAGAAGGTTAGCATGTGTATGAAAGGTAGCATTAACTTGAGACAGGGGTTATACTTGATTTGCCAACTTTTATAGCATTTTCTTTTCCTTTTTGTTACATACTTCTTAAAGCAAAATTCTCTTACCTTCCGATAACCAGTAAACTATTGTCTATGTATATGAGTTTTTTGTTTCTTCATTTGTTTGTCTTGTTCTTTTGTTGTTTTCAGTTTTATATACCACATATCAGTGAAATCATGTGGTTCTCAACTTATTCTGTCTGACTTATTGCACTTAGCATTATAACCTCAACATCCATCCATGTTGTCGCAAATGGCACTATTTCATCTTTTCTTATGGCAGAATAGTATTCCGTTGTGTGTGTGTGTGTGTGTGTGTGTGTGTGTGTG